ACTGTTGAAGACCAAACAAAAGGGATGCGCATTTCCCCCTGTTTGATGCCAGTGCATATTGCATGTATCAATACTACGTGTATAATATAACACTCTATATATACATATGTATGTACTGTATGTGTACATGTATATGCATATGTAAATAAATAATAACTATAACTTATAACCATTGTTATATTATATATATATTAAGATGTACATAGTTCTTCATAGTTCTTCAAAGTCATGTGCCCTCGTCCCGGACTCACGACATCCCGGATGTTGTTTCAGCCGTGGTGGGATGCTCCAGCCCAGAAAATTCGCGCCAGTGTGACGCTATACCAGCGGAAAACGTACGCGTCACGGTCTCCCTGTCGGGAGTGCGCCGGTGACCGGTGACGAATCCGGTGACTATGGCGAATGAACTATGGTGAACTCAGCCCATAAGTGTGGAGATCGGGCCCCTACAACTATACTGTTAGATATCAACTTATACTGGTTGGTGGTTTATAATCAACATGAATATAGTGTTCATAGAACTGATATGAATTTATCATGTTTATAATCAACAAACATAATTAATTGGTGGTTTCAACCCCTCTGAAAAATGATGGAGTGAAAGTCACTTGGGATGATGAAATTCCCAATATATGGAAAGTCATAAAATTCCATGGTTCCAAACCACCAACCAGCTATATAGTTACATATCAACTTATAGTTTGAACTGCACTTCCAAGTAGTCAGATTGGGAGCTGTCTTAATATTTTTGTAATTGGGATATTTCATGTGGTATATACCTCTTTTATGGCTATTTGCATGGGGATATAATGGGATATGTCATGGGATATCATATAACCAATTTGATATGACATAGTTGTGGTTGAAAATGTAGTACCTAACCGCCATGTTATGCTACGTATTTTTGTGTTGGGACAATTCATGAACCATTGGATGGAATGGGGTAACCGGGTAGCCTGTTTGCAAACAAACTCATATGTTCCTAAGCCTTTTTGGGGCCCCTATCTATCTGAAATATTGAAATATGTGTCATATCCTCTGGAAAACATGCATGAAAACGCAAAAAACCGCTTCATTGAAAGATGGTTCTCCTCTTCAAAAAAAGGCCCATTTTTTTGGGGACGGTGACGTTTGGTGACTGGATCTCCGCTAATGTCCCCTATAAAGACACCTATAAATTCATGGTCCCTCAGCATTTCGTGAATGAGTTCACCCAGGAATATCCCCAGAATTCATATGGCCAACAAGATGGTACGTTTACGTATCTATTTTAAGATCCTGGAATGACATGGAATGACCATTGATTGAATGTCCTGCGGTTAAACTCTTGAACATGACTGGCTACCACTTAAAATGCCTGTCTTCGTGGTTTCATAATGTTTCATACTTTGAACAAAAACACTTCTGCTCTATCTGGACAACGCTGTCTCGGAGATCGCGTCGCTTCGACTGGTGCACCGTTCATTTTCAAACCGGTCCCAGTCGAAAGTTCGTGGATGTTCCCTGCTATTTTTGGCATGGTGGATCTTTCCAGTTCGTTATGTCAACGTTACCAGAGGGTACCATTTATAGTTGTTGACATCCATCAATAGTGATTTTGATATCATAATATATCTAGTGATTAAATGTGATTAATGGGATTCAGATGGATATACCAGAGGGTTTTTCACACTTTCAAATATGTGGTTGATCTTTGGGTGGTCCCGGGCCGCCGGGCCTTAAATCTGTATCCAACATCAATGGCACTGGACCACACAATCCTCGGGGAACATGGGAGATATCATGGGAATTCATGGGATATAGACTGGATATACCATTTATAGTTGTTGATATCCATCAATAGTGATTTATATATCTATTTTCTAGTGATTAATGGGATTCATATGGATATACCCTCTGGTTATGACTAACAGTTCGCCATGGAAAATCACCATGCTACTAATAGGTAAACCATCTATTTCTATGGGCCATTGTCCATGGCTATGTTAAATAAACAAAGGGTATATACAAAAAATATTATATTATCTAATAGAGATGTTATCTAATCTGGTTAATTGTTTTTCGCCTACCCCTCTGAAAAATGATGGAGTGAAAGTCACTTGGGATGATGACATTCTTCCCAATATGATGGGAAAGTCATAAAATTCCATGGTTCCAAACCACCAACCAGATCACCATCATATTCCCATTGTTGTTGGTTTATACCCTATTATATAATCACTATGAAAAAATCACTATGTTCCAGTCACCACCAACCAGTAAACCATTAATGGTATAGTTCAATATATCTAATCTTCGAATGTGGGATCTTTGATTTCCAACTTATTCGTCAGCCAAAATCGCCAGCGATTTTAAAAAAAGGGGCTGTCGGATCAGCAGCACGTCCCAAGGGATCAGAGACTTGGTGAGGTCATGAAAATGACCTATAGGTATATAGTGATACCATCTTGTTATTTAACATAGCCATGGAAAATCCCAAAAATAAATGGAGGTTTATAGCTGGGACAATCATCTATAAATGGGCCATCTATACCATGGCTATGTTAAATAACCAGAGGGTAATTGGGATTAATAGGTCATTATAGGTAAAAAGGGTGATTTTGTGATATTATCCTATTAATCACATTATGATAATCCTATTATATTTATAGGTCATCATGATAATCCCAATTATAATTATATAATCCCATAATATCACATTATACTGGTTGGTGGTTTTAACCATCTTGAAAAATCTGAAAGTCAATGGGAAGGATGACATCCCATATATGAAATGGAAAATAAAAAATGTTTGAAAGCACCAACCAGTAAACATCATTAGTCAGTGATGTATACTAGTGAGTTCTATGACGGTTCACAATGGGTATGCTGATAGGTATGCACCCATATGCAAGTTATTGACCTATTCATGGTATCTCATGTGGCCCAACCTGGGTAGAACCTGAGCAACGTCCAAGGCTCTGATTGATGATGATGTTCCCGACCGAAGCTGACACTGTAACCTGAAACATGGCACATGCGTTTTGCACGACGGGACGGGGCGAATGCGAGCCATCAACAAACCTAATCAAAACACCCGTTTTTTTTTAAATAGATGATCGTCCAAAAGCTGCCATTACTGAAGTATGGCTTGGTTTTCCAGGGAAAATCTCAGGAAACCATTGAGTTTTCCCTGCTATATATACTGGTTGGTGGTTTTTCGCCTACCCCTCTGAAAAATATGAGTTCGTCACTTGGGATGATGAAATTCCCAACTGAATGGAAAGTCATAAATTCATGTTCCAAACCACCAACCAGTATAGGATTTTCCTGTTTATTCTGCCACTTCAAAAAACTCTGGTCCAGGAGCTTCGCAGTAGGCTGGGTTCCCGTCACCCATTCATACTCTGTGATCAATCTGCTGCAGGTTTTACCCTCTGGTTGTTTAACATAGCCATGGTATAGATGGTCCATTTATAGATGGTTTACCTATTAAAAATGGTGATTTTCCATGGCAAGCTGTTAATAACCAGAGGGTAAATCTGTTCAATGCGTTTCTTTTCCAAATTTGGATTCACTAACAATGTGACTTTTTGAAGCGTTTGGTTTCACTAACAATTAGGATTGTCCTGTTTCTTTTCCAAAGTGTTCTGCTTAAAATGATTTCGCAATGTGATTTTGGAGCAAACCATTGAAGTATCAGATTATATTGGAGGAGTACCCTCCTAATTGATAAACCATGGTTTATTAATCCGGGGTTGACATGAATGGCTATATTCTCATTTTTTTTCAGTGGGTTAATCCTACTTCATCCCTGAAAAATTCCAGGGATGTAACCTATACATACCTCTACAGTAGGTGAATCACTAAGTAATGGCATAACCTCTGAAAATCTGGCTCTAGATCTGATCCACAAGACGAGAAAACACTTACGTTCATAAGCTTATGATAAGCGCAAATTATATAAGCATCATTTAGAGTTTATACCAGTTTTGTATTGAATTAGGGATGCTCGGATCCTCTTTAGGGACTTTATGTTTTTCATCATGAATCCTCTGGTAATCATGGCTGGAAAATGGAAACTTCTCATCTTCGATGATTTTCCCTTAACACTTTGCGACTTCGGCCATTTTCAGTTGCCCATTTTTCACAAAAACCAACTCAGACTCCCTGCCAGCGTCGTCATCATGAATTCTGGCCCGACATCCCGAGGGGTGCAGGTAGCAAGCGGTTAATATCCTATGTATACATGCATATATATATATATAATAAAAGTATCTATTCTATGTATATATATAATTGTACATATGTATATATATATTATTATCATTATTATACATATATATATATATATACATATATTATATACTATACATATATTATATTATAGATATTATATATATAACTGCCAAGAATAATGTGGATATGACCCACTAACTCGATGCTCATCCTTGACGTAGGTCTGGAAAAAATGATGGTTAACCATGTTTGACCACCAAAAATATGGGGTTACACAATTACCCTTTGGTTATTTAACATCGCCATGGAAAATCACCATGCTATTAATAGGTAAACCATCTATTTCTATGGGCCATCTATACCATGGCTATGTTAAATAACCAGAGGGTAATTCATACAACGTCAGTTGATTTATCACTATAGTAACTGGAGAGTAACTGTTGGATTTATGGTGAACATATATCTACAGTTGGATGGGTTTTTCAAGCGAAAGTCACAACAACAACTTATAACTGTGGTGGTACCACATTGCAAAGTAGTTCAACAATGTTCTACAATCTTTTTCTAGACGGAATATATATATATATGTGAATTTCATTCCAGGTTCCTTCCACGTGACATTAAGATCAGATGCGCCCCTAGGGTTGGTAGAAAGAGCCCGGTCGTCTGCAATTTCATGGCAGCCGGAGCCCGGTTCTGGCAGTAGCTTGACAGCGAGTGCCAGGGTGAAGATCCAGGTGAGTTTCAACGAAGTTGGGAAGTCCATTTAGCAACACTGCGAGATGGATCAGAAAGGAATAGAGGTTCCTAGCTATGATGGAACACCAGAAGGCCTTGCGGCCTACAAAGAGGCAGTCCTTCAGTACCTGATGGCCACAGAGACCCACAAGCGCTACCTGGTGGGTCCCAGACTAGTCCAGAGACTGACTGGTGTGGCCAAGGCGCTGATTCGCACACAGACCCTTAGAGATCCTCAGTGGTTGGCACACCCTAGGGGCGCTTATACACTACTGGGGTTCTTGGAAGAGACCTTGGAGCGACCGTCACTGATAGAGGCAAACAAACATGTCATGGCCTTCTTCTACCAGCTTGAGAGGAAGAAAGGTGAGACAATGACGGAGTGGATTGCCAGACACAGTGAGAGGCTATGGGAGGCTTCAAGGGCGCTTCAACGTGTCCAAAGGGAACATGGGCGATTGGATGTGCCGAGTGAAAAGGAATGGAAAGACTCTAGGTCCAGCTACAGTAGAACAAGTGAAAGAAACACAGGAGGCCAGGAAGTACCTTTCCGTGATGATGGCCGACTAGAAGAGACAGAGGATGAACAGACCAATGATGATTCAGAACAACACACATGGGGGTGGAACAAATCCTCATGGAGCTGGAGTGAATCAGGGGGAGATTGGTCTTGGAAGTCCCCTGAATATGAGCCGCCAAAGACATGGAGTTTTGATGAAAAACCCTTCATTCCTGAGTTTCTGGCGGGGTTTCTTCTTCTACACCGTAGTGGACTGGAGCCGAGCGAAAGGTCAAATATTCTGGCCAGCATCAAAGGCCAGTTCACCACTCAGGCCGTTGCCCGTGCGCTTCGTGAACAATGGAGCGATGCGGATGTGGCCAAGCGTGACAAGGCGAAGGCATCAGCTGCCTACCTCCTTGAAGAGGACGACGAAGATGCCCTCTACAACACTGTGGATGAGCAGGAGTTCTCCCAATGGGGCACTGAACAACAAGATGCATACCTGGCGGAACAGCAAACCATTGATGAGGCCTTGGAGGCCATCAAATTCCAGAAGTCCACACTGAAGGAAGCTCGTTGGCGCCAACGCCAAATCAAGCTTGGGAGGAACTTCTATCCTCCAAAGCCTTACAAGGGTGGAAAAGGAGATGGCCGTCCTTCCAAAGGAGACATCAAGTGCTTTCGGTGTGGCGGACCACACTACCAGGACAAGTGTCCCCAGAGGTTCAAGGAGAAAAGCGCACAGATCGCAGATGAGGAGTCAGCTGAGATTGCCTTCACAGCTTCTGAGTTTGCAGGCCAAGCAGACTCTCTGGAGCCCGATACCAACAACAATCCGGAAAAGTTCCAATACGGCATCATCGATTCTGGTGCAACAGCATCGTTGGGTAGCGTCGATGCGCTCGAGGAGCTGATGATAGCCAACATTCATGCCTGTGGGGACAGCAAGATGCAGGTCAATACGGCCAAGCGACCCACCTTCAAGTTTGGAAACGGCATGCGAAAAGAGTGTCTGAGCACCATCAACCTCTCCATTGGTGCTGGTGAGAAGCGTGGGAACATGGAAATTCATGTCCATGACTCACCGGGACAGCCTGTCCTTATCTCACGGAAGGCTCTGGCAGCTTTGGGTGCCGTGGTGGATTTCAGCGAGAACAAGGTCATTTACAAAGCTGTGAATCCAAGCATAGTCCTGCAGCTGAAACAAGCTGAGAATGGTCGCTTGCTGATGCCGTTGACTGGCAACCTTTTGGATGGTGGTCACAAACGTGACAAACCTTTTTCCAGCCTAGATGAATAGGGACAACTCTCCTCTGAGCACATGGAGAAAACAGCTCAGGGGAGTCCGAACTCAACATTGCGAGATGCAAGTAGGGAGGTTCTAGGCATTTGTCAGTTTTGTGAACTTCAATCTGTACAGCATGAATTTTGCATGTTTTGTCATGAAACCCAGATCCCGCATGAGAACGAAACACACAAATCACACGTGTGCACACAGCACCCTCAGGATCGAGATCGTAGTTTCCAACCTGCTACCAACACAGGTGTTCATGGCCATGTCGCAGTGCAAGAGCAAGGCAGACTGGAAACACAAGTTGGAGGAGGCTGGCCTGATGGTTCCCAAGGATGCGACCATCCAGTACATGAAGATGATTTGGGCCGAAGCTCAACAAGAAATGAAAGTCAAGAACTTAGAGGGCACCTTGGAGTCCGAGCTCAAGGCACTCCGTGCTGCGGGCCGCAAGAAATCAGTTCTGTTGGACTTCATGAAAGACAAAGGCATGGTGATCAACCCCAATTCAACCATTGCTTTACTTCTAGCTTCGGGGGAGAAGGAGATTTACAATCAATACGAACCCACGGGAAGCGAGAAGATGAATTTTGGCAAGTATGCAGACCACACATTCGAGGAGGTATCCAACCTACACCCCTCATATGTGAACTGGATCGCAACCACGGCCCAGGAGTCAGACAACATGCATTGGCGCCTCCTCAGGTTCCACCGCTGGGCAACCCAGTTGCGCTCCAAGCAGAAGATCAACCAGGCCGTGAATCCCAATGTCAAGGGCAAGGCCAGCTCCACCGGCAGTTTCAGTGTGTTGTCGGAGGGGGAAGAGGTCACACCCGCTGCTCAGGAGATCATGGAAGCCTGGAAGAAGATCCAGGAACAGCGCGATCAGCTGGAAGCCCAAGCTCAGGAACTGCAGAAGCAGAAGTGCGACCTCGATCAGGAGATCCTTGCCAACACGAAGGATCGCAAGACCCGCCGCGAGATGTAGATTCAACAGTGAGTCAGGCACTTCCGGCTGAGGTAGTATCCAAGTTGGCAAAAACATGGCACCTTCAACGTAACCTTTTTAGTGAACAATGGAAATCTCTTGTTCATCATCGGCGTCCTCTCCTCATGGAACTTGCTTGCTATGAAGATAGTATTCTAGGTCAGGAGGTTGAAAGAAGATATGGAAAGAATTCTACTATCCGTTGCAGTAAGTGGAATGGAGGAGACTTGGAAACGAAAGAGGGTGTCCAACATGCCAAACGTATGATTGAGAAGTTTCGTCCGGTTCATCTTTGGATATCCTGCAACTGTGCTCCATATTGTCCTCTCCAACGTATCAATCAACGTAATGAGAGCCAAAAGCAAAAACTTGAAGAGAAAAGATGTCAAGTACGGAAACAGTATGCAGGAGCCATTGAGGTGGCAGACTTTGCAAGGTCTTTCAACGTACAGGTCCATTGGGAACTGGCGGAACGATGTGAGGCCTGGAAACTGGCCGAAATCGAAGAGTTCCTGCTTCGACATGCACTCAAAAAGATCACATGTCATGGATGCGCAGTCGGTCTCAAAACTCTGGATGGGAAACAAGCTCTATGTAAGGGTTGGACTATTGCAACAACAAATGAAGAACTCCTACAACATCTTGATCTTCGGTGTCAACGAAATCACCCAAAAGGTAGATGTGAAGGAGGACAAACAGCACACACAGCGCGGTACACACAACCTTTTGCAAGAAAAGTGATCGATAGCCTGTCAGCCTGTGAAACCTGGTCCAGGATTGTGCACCTTCTCAACAAGGAGGTGGAGACTGCACTACCGGCTGAAGAATCTGAAGATGCAGACATGCCGGAGGATGAGCAGATGGAGGACGTGGCAATGCCACCCGAGACTGATGAGGAGAAGCGGGAGAGAGAAGAGATTGAGAAGAAGATAGCCCACATACACCGTAGCACAGGTCATGGGAACATGGAGAACCTAGTTCAAGCCTTGCAACACAGAGGAGCAAATGAAAAGGTGTTGAAGATAGCAAGAAACTGGAAGTGTACTACATGTCAAAGATATCAGAGAAGGGATCCAAGGAGGTTTGCTACTTTGGAACCTATACCACAAAAATGGGAACGAATACAAGCTGATGTAGCGACATGGATGCACCCACAAACCAAGGCCAAGTACCATGTTTTGCTGGTGGTAGATGAGGGCTCACGATTTCGAATTGCCAAGGTCATCAGCTCTGGCGAAGGAAATCAGGCAACATGGGAGGACATGAAGGAGGTATTAGAGGAGAACTGGTTTTCTATTTTTGGAATCCCAAAGGTCATGAAGGTAGATCCAGCTGGTCCGTGGATGTCCCAGGCAGCCATTGACTACATGGACGAGCGACACATTGAGTACATCAGCATTCCTGCAGAGGCACACTGGACCATTGGGATCGTAGAAAATACCATCAAAACCTTCAAGGGCATCCTCACCAAACTTATCGAGGAGTTTCCAAATCGTAGTGTTGATGAACTTGTAGCACGAGCAGTATGGACTGGCAACAACATGGACATGATTGATGGATACACTCCCGCACAACGAGTTTTTGGTAGGGCACCTGATGACTTTGGTCGTTTCTTCAAAGATCAAGCAGAAGTACCACTTCACCCTTCTCTAGTAGCTGATGGAGGTTTTCGAGAGGATTCAGATGTTAGACGCGTAGCAGAACAAACTTTCATTGAAGAACAAGCAAAGAGAAGAATTGAAAGAGCTACACGTATGGGTCACCGTAGAGCTGAGGTTTTTCTTCCTGGTGATTTGGTCTATATTTGGAGAAATCAGGTCCCCAAGCGAGAGCGCACCACACAAAAATCAGGACGGTTCATAGGTCCAGCCAGGGTTCTGGCAACTGAAACACGACGTGAACCTGATGGCCAACTGCGTCCTGGTCATGTGGTATGGGTACACAAAGGGGGTAGACTTTTCAAAACTGCTCCAGAACAATTACGAAAAGCTTCACCGTATGAGCACATGGTAGAAGAACTTCATGGACCAGTAGATCTTCCTTGGACTATTACAGCATTGGCTTCAGACCAAAACAAGACAGTATTTCAGGATATCTCACAAGAAAGACCATCTCATGCACAGTGGGAAGAGGCACCAACAGAAGAAGAAGAAGAGAGAGGAGTGTTGTTTAGAAGAAGGTCAAAGGGTCCTGAAATTAGAGGTCAGAAAAGAGAGGTGGCTTCGGCTCAAAAACCCAGTGAACCGTTTTCCACTGCTCGTGGCAGCAAGGAACGCAAGCGGGAGAACCAGACCAAAGACCTCAGCGCCTTCTTTGCGGCAGAGGAGAACCGGAAAGGTGTGGAGATTGAGTGGGAATTGCCATCATCAAGGAGAGGCATCAAGAAGTTTATCAACAACCCGGAAGCCTATGTCTGTACTCAACTCAAGCGAAAACAAGTAGAAGTTCGAGAAAAACAACTTACACCATCAGAGGCTCTTGAGTTTCACAAGGCAAAGGAAACAGAGGTGAAGAATTTTATTGCTTCAGGATGTTTTGAGTTGGCCAAGGGTGTTTTCCAGATGAGCGTCGTATTGTGGGTATGAGATGGCTTCTAACATGGAAACATGGCGAGTCTTACGAGGGAGGCAAGAAGGCCAAAGCACGTGGTATTATTTTGGGCTATCAAGATCCAGAATATGAAAACAGGAAAACATCAGCACCAACACCCAGCCGCTCAGGTAGACAACTGTTCTGGCAACTTTGCAGCTGGAAGCGCTTCCGGCTGAAGAAGGGCGACATATCGGGGGCCTTCCTTCAAGGCGATGACATGGAGGAGGAATTGTGGTGTCGTCCAGTCAAGGAGATCACCGATGCGTTAGGACTCCCAGAACATACCCCTATGTTGATGCGTAAAGCAGCCTATGGACTTGTTCAAGCACCTTTACAATGGTTTTATACTATCAACAACTTCCTGGGCAACTTGGGTTACAAACAACTTCAAACTGAACCATGTTGCTGGGTTTGGGTAGACACTGAAGGACAAGTACGATCCATTGTTCACTCACACGTCGACGACTTGATGTTTGGAGGTAAAGAAGATGATAGTATTCACCTTGGTCTTCTTGAACAACTACAAGCACGGTTTAAATGGGGTAGTTGGGAGGATAGATACTTTGTTCAATGTGGTATTGAAGTAGTCCAAAATGAAGACTATTCCATTGACCTCAAGCAAAGTAACTTCATCAACGACATTGAAGAGATCTATCTTACCAGAGACCGCAGTCGCCAAACAGGACAACCAGTGACAGAAACGGAAAAAACCAAACTTCGTGGAGCTCTCGGCAGTCTGGCGTGGGTTTGTGGTCAAACATGTTTTCCCTATGCTGTAGACACAAATTTTCTGGTCACAACCATACCTGTTGCCACTGTAGAGGATATTCTTCACACCAACAAGATCATCCGAGAAGTCAAAAAGCTGAAAGATGTCGCATATCGTATTCACAATTTTCCGGAACATGAGGAGCTGGAATTGTTTTGTTGGGCAGATGCAGCGTGGGCCAACAGGCCCAATGGCACCGATTCCACCGAGGGCATCTTTGTTGGCATGTCAACTTCTCGTTTACGACATGGTTTTGAAGAAAATGTATCTCCTATTCACTGGCGGAGTGGGAAAATAGAACGTACATGCAGATCTCCAGCGTGTGCTGAGGTGATGGGATGTCTGGACGGTGAGGATGAGCTCACTTTTCTGCGGCTTCTATGGACTGAGATGCAGGGATACACCATCAACACTAGAAAGATCGATGAATCCATCCAGTATACCAAGGGCATGTTAATCACAGATGCACGCAACCTTTTTGACAAACTGATACGACCAACAGCAACAGTCAAAGGCGCCGAAAAACGTTCTTCAATAGAGGCTCTTAGTCTTCGTGAAAATCTTGAGAGAGGAACAGCGGACATCCACTGGGTGAACTCAGGGGCAATGATAGCAAACTCATTGACCAAGACAAAAGAAAAGGGTCAGCTCATGTTGTACCTGGCCTCAGGATTTCGATGGAAGATCGTCTTCGACGAGAACTTTGTCTCCGAACGGAAAAGGAAGCAAGCAGGCTGTGATGCTTTTGAAACCATGCGCGCACAAACACACACAAAACAAGGAGAAGGCAGGATCTGGGATTCAATGTCAGTTCCAGGAAAGTGAAGAACACTTTCAATTAAGTTAGAAAGGGGGACCAATGTGAATTTCATTCCAGGTTCCTTCCACGTGACATTAAGATCAGATGCGCCCCTAGGGTTGGTAGAAAGAGCCCGGTCGTCTGCAATTTCATATATATATATGGTTTTAAACGAATTTAAACGATGTTACCCACTTCAAAAACACCATAAAACACCATAAAACACCATAAAACACCATAAAACACAATAAAACACCATAAAACACCATAAAACACCATAAAACACCATAACACACCATAAAACACCATAAAACACCATAAAACACCATAAAAGCGGCTTGTGTTTAGCCATACCCACGCTATCATCAATTGAATCTACCACTTCTGAAGCGCACCAGCAACACTTTTTGCGAATTTAAGTGGATGATCTCTTTGGATCCCATGAAAAGTCCAGAAATTTCTACCGGATGGGGATGATGGGGACCCTTGGCGTCCTTGGCGTTTCGTTGCCTTACTGGTTGATAATAATGGTTAATAATGGTTAATATTATTGGCTATTATATTATATATATGGTTTATGATGGTTAATCATAATCTGGTTGGTGGTTGGTTGGTATACCTACCCCTCTGAAAAATGATGGAGTGAGTTCGTCAGTTGGGATTTTCTGAAATTCCCAACTGAATGGAAAAAATAATCCAAATGTTCCAGTCACCACCAGCCAGCTTAGAAAAGTGATGGTTTATTGACTCTGATTTATGGTAGATATAACATGATAAAACTATATTATAGTTTAACATATAGTTTAACTATATAGATGGTTGGATTGTAAACCAACGACCATAAATGGGACCATCCATGGTGATGTCCAGCCAGTCATGTGAGTCATGTGGATTCCCCGAGGGTTTTTGGCAGCAAATCAACCACGGGAACCACTGAAGGATCACGTTTCGGTGATCAGATTCGTCCCGAACACTACTTGGGTTCAGCCCGCTAATATAGTAGTTACCCTCTGGTAATTTAACGTAGCTATTGAAAATGACCATTTGTAGTGGATTTTCCCATTAAAAATGGTGATTTCCCATAGTTATGTTAGTTTACCAGAGGGTAATGATAGTTAATGTCAACCAAACGGATTAATAAACCCCGTAAACACGGCTGTCTACTTGGATAGGTACCATGTAAAAAATATAAGATCATATTGGAGGAGTACCCTGGTGTATTAATCGGGGGTTAACATGAATGGCTATATTCTCATTTTTTTCAGTGGGTTAATCCTACTTCATCCCTGAAAAAATCCGGGGATGTAACCTATACATACCTCTACAGTAGGTGAATCACTAAGTAATGGCATAACTTCTGAAAATCTGGCTCTAGATCTGATCCACAAGACGAGAAAACACTTAAGTTTATAAGCTTATGATAAGCGCAAATTATATAAGCATCATTGAGAGTTTACGCCAGTTTTATATTGAATTAGGGATGCTCGGATCCTCTTTAGGGACTTTATGTTTTTCATCATGAATCACACCCGAAAATATCACCTGGAATTCATATTTATTGCCATGTCCAAGTGGGGAACATTTCGGGTGTACCACATACCGTAACCCAAGTAGCCTCTGGTAATCATGGCTGGAAAATCCATGAAAATCCCTCATCTTCGATGATTTTCCCTCGCCATGGAGCTGCTCAACAAAACCATTAATTGGGATCCACCCCCCAAGTGTTGAGAAAATCTGAGAAAACCATATTTACTCAACAATACTTGGTGTAGTTCACTGACACCCCCAGTAAGAACCAGTGAGTTTTCTATTGCTATGTTCACTCAAAAAAACAAGAAGAGGAAAACCAAGTATTGACTTTATTTATTGTTATTGTTTATTACTCAATACTTGGTTGTTATAAAACAACTATTGTTATTAACGATCAATTACAATAACAATGGCTGGGATGTTGCATGTTATTTACTGGTCGTCAATTGGTGTAAATTCCCCCATGGCCCAAGGCACCTTCAGACTCTGCGCGCATCTGTTGCCCTGCGCACATCGAATTCAGATAGGGAGATCATAGGAAGATCATGTGGTGAGGGATGCAATGGTGTATGTATATACATATATATATATATATGTATGGACAAACTCCACATGCACAGACCTTGCATGACGTAAATCGACATTCAACATGGCATGTATATATATATATATATATATGTATATGTATAGTTAAAACATGTGTGTACTCATTTCATCGATTCATTTTGAAGCCACATACCCTCCAAATTCAATGTGAAACCCAATATGCCCGATGACAAAAGTCATTGAGACCTGTTTCTCCAAGTTCAGAGGTGCATTGCTATCCATCAAACCCAACACGAATGCTCCCAACACACCAAATACAAGGGGTGTTTCACTGGGTAGATTTTGAGAGCTAGAATGACCAATTTCGCCTCAGAGGTGGATATCAATAGCTTGGAGAAACCCTGCGACTATTTAAGCGACTTTTTGTTGTACAGGACAGTCTCAGACAGTCTCCTTTAACATATACCCTCTGGTAATTTAACATAGCTATTGAAAATGGTCATTTATAGTGGATTTACCCATTAAAAATAGTGATTTTCCATAGCTATGTTAAATTACCAGAGGGTAGATCTGTGTTAGCGATCCGCAGAGGGTAAACTTTCTGCGGATCGCCACCAGGGTTTCTGCATGATCCACGGGGCTGGAAAATCCACCATGGATACTTCGTTGATTTTCCCAGCTCTAAACCTCCATGAAAATGATTTAACTGCGGGTTAATCATGGTTAAGCCATGTTAACCCCAAATATTTTGTCACGCTATCTACCCTCTGGTTATGACTAACAGTTCGCCATGGAAGGCATGGCCCATAGAAATAGATGGTTTACCTATTAAACATGGTGATTTTCCACAGCTATGTCAGCCATAACCAGATGGTATGTTTTCCAGAAGATTCCTATCTCGTTGACTGCCCATTGCGAGTTGAGCCCTGTACTGGTCGTCTCAATGATGGAGTTGGACAGGGTGGAACCCGTATTTACTGTGTTGAACTCCCAATTCTGTTGTTGAAATCTACCTCTTCGCTGCTTAAATCCACTTTTTTGCTAGTCAAATCTACCTCTTTGCTGTTTAAATCCCTGGTATACCCTCTGGTAAACTAACAGTTCGCTATTGAAAATGGCCCAGTCGAAATAGTGAGTTTTCCCATGAAAAATGGTGATTTTCCATAGCTTTTTGTATGTTTACCAGGCCGGGTATCCACCTTTTTGCTGGAAAAATCTCTGTTTTGGTGGGTCATTTCCCGATGTTTGGTCTTACGTCCAGCTCGCTGGACCTCTGGGACCGGTGATGTTTGGTGTCTGGGCCGCCCCAACGGTACACTCCTCGGTACAAGAAGTAGTAGCCTCGGTCGTGAGTTGGGAGAGATTTTTTCGCCATTTTTGGGCCTCTGAATCATCAACCAAAGGGGATGTCAGACGATTTGAACATGAAAAATTGACATTTTGGCATCAGAAACAGGCCTATCGACATGGAATCCTGCCTCAAAGAGGTTGTTTAAAGGTCATTTGAACAGTTCTGACTACTTTCTGAAGCCTGATGACTGATTCTGTTTGGTATGGAAATCTGATCGCTATCTGGAAAATGACGCCAGAAATGGATCTGTTTCAAAATGTTGGATACCCCCAACATTCAGTTGAAAACCATCAGGTTACAATTTCATGGCTAAAAATTGGTGACCCTCCAGGTACTTTGACGCCATGGAAAACAAGCCACAACTCGAGATGTTGGCACTAAAAATAATAACCATTGATGCTAGGGGAAATCCAAGCCAAAGATCCTGTCATTATCCAAATTCTCATGGCTGTTTTGTTATATTAAACCATAGTCAATTCATCTATTATTGATAGTGGTTAATGGTGGTTTATGATATATAGTGGTTACTAGTGGTTAATAGATCTGAAAATAGTGGTTGATAGTGGTTAATAGCGGTGATTTGTTTAATATACTGGTTGGTGGTTGGTTGAGCCCTACCCCTCTGAAAAATATGAGTCAGTTGGGATGATGAAATTCCCAATATCTGGAAAGTCATAAAATTCCATGGTTCCATTATTGATTATTATATCCCATTATATCCCATTAAAAAACCATGTTCCAGTCACCACCAACCAGGTATCCCAATATTACACCCCGATTTCCGATGATTTCCCCATTTTGGGAGGCCATCTTGATGAGCCCTCCCTCTGGATGATGCAATTCCTATGGGAAAATCACCATCTTCGGTAAATCAGCGAACTAAATGGGCCATCTATACCATAGCTTTCTTCGTTGACCAGGGGTATGTAATACTTCACCGGGAAAAAACTCAGTGATGAAACCCTCTCAAACCCTAGTGCCCTGGTATCTTGCTGTTCATGATTGGATGTTCATCCGCCCATTCATACAGGAAATAGGTATGTCCAAGAATGGGGCATACTCATTGTTTAGTCACGATAGGGAAAATGATGATACCCTCTGGTAAACTAGTATATTACATAGCTATGAAAACTCACCATATTACTTGTTGGTGGTTTTAACCATCCTGAAAAATATTAGTCAATGGGAAGGATTATCCCATATATTGTGGAAAATAAAAAATGTTTGAAACCACCAACCAGATTATGTATTTTCGGTGAATCAACTTTAAATGGCCATGTGTCCGTAGCTATGTTGGCTAAATTTGGGATGTTCCCAACATCTTCAAACCCCCAATGGTCGGCGTGCAGCTAGGACACCCATGACCAGCCTCAGCGCAGCCCCCGTTTGGCAAACTTACCAGGCGAAAACATTGCTGGGATTCTCAGGCATCCCATTTTCATGGCTGTTTTGTTGTGCATGGTTGGTGGTTTTAACATGTTTTAACCATCTTGAAAAATCATGGAATGAGTAACAGTTGGGATTATGACATTCCCAATATATGGAAGGTCACAAAAAATGTTCCAGTCACCACCAGCCAGATACCCGGCAATCAAATGT